GAAGCCTAGATTGCAAGGGGATACCTTCAAGTAGACGAGCTTGCAATCTGTTTTGCCGTGAAGGAAGGGGCGTGTGTTCATTGTGGTTTCTTTGAAGAATGGTATGAATGGTACAGTCCCCTCTGGTAATTTAACTTAGCTCTGGAAAATCACAACTTTTACGAGGTAAATCATCTATCAATCGGCCATTTCCAATAGCTATGTCCAATTACTAGAGGGTACAATAATCCTAGCTACACCATTTGTCCATCAAGCGGATTTGGGGCACCCTATTCTCAAATCAACCCATATCTCAGAGCATCCATTTGTTTAGCGTCCATCCATCATGATCGCTTCGCCCATGAGTACCACGATTTGACAATTGGATCTGTTTGTTTTGGTGAAACAACCGGTGAATTGGGATGATTGGGGGGAAGGGATCACAATTCGCATGTCGATTGCGGAATCCCATTGGTGTCATATTAACTCCCCGAGTTTCGTCGGATAGATCCTGAAATGGGGCGTGTTTGAACATTAAAATCGGGTACCCCTAAATCCCATGATTTATCATCGTTGCCACCCCCAAAATTGCCATTGTGTCGTATTCTTAATTTTCAGAAACCCAAATTTCATATCGGTGGTTTTAGTTTTATCCTTCATCTATCATATTCACTGGTTAAATCAAGAAACATTAAACACAACTATCTTTGTTGGTACGAGTATTAGTTGGTTGTATGTATATCGCATAATATCCCATTAAATCTCATATGAATTGGCTGGTGCCCATGAAACCGGTTTCTGGTTAAGTTGGTTAGATCTCCCAAGTAAATCCCATATTAGTACTGAACCCAATTCTAATTCCATGTATATCCCAGAATATCCCAATTATCCCATGGTTCCATGCTAATATGATGATGATTATATCATTATAATTATATCCCAATTGTACCGCCATATTAGTTCGTGAAATCCCTACTTGGGAGTGCACTTGGGGTTGTTAATGAGGCAATTCTTGAGACAGCCATAAATTATCAATTGGGATATGGGGCCACTATAACTGAACTATGGTGAAATCATGTCGTGTGAAATCTATCCACTGGAACTGCACCACGTCCAAGTGTGGAAAAAGTCGATCGGCACCTGGTTGGCGCCGGTCCCTCAAGCGCCAATCCTCCTCCGTCCAGGCGCCAAACGGCATCCTACCGGTGGAAAAAGGTCGGATGCATCGGGGAACGACAGAAATCCAGCGATTTTCCAGGAGAAAAAAATATGAAGATTTGACCCAAAAAGATGGGAGGCTTGAAATTCTGCAGAAATGGAAGTTTGTTTCACCAAAAATTAGGATTTGCCATTGATTAATATATGTCAGAAGATTGTTAAACATCAAGCTGTGTGAAATGGTACTTGCATCCCCATTTGCATGAGGATATCACTCGCCACCCGAGGCCCCAAAATGTGAAAGTCAACAGGGAGAATCAGCGCATCTGTTTGGTAGGAAAATCCGGGCATATTCAAAGCCGCCAGCCACATCTTATCCTTGCGTGTTTGTATTTTCTGCAAAGATCCCAGCCAAAACCAGCAGAAAATATGTGTGCACGACATTCATCCATGTCACTGTGTAGGTGAATACTGAAAAATTACACTGCAAACTCTAAACTCATCTAAAATCTCATTTGGGGTCAATACAGAATGTTTGAAGAAACTGTGTTTGAGCCATTCTGAATCAACCGTGCCATATCCCAAGCCCTAAACTTCGGACATCGCCCTCGCCACGTTCCAAGATTCGGACCTCGAAGCCCGGCGCCCCGAGACATGGCGCTCCAGGATGGCAATGGTGATGTGATGGACCACAGAACACATCGCCAGTTCCGAGAATTTTGTTGGGGATGATTCTTAGGGTTATGGTGATTATGATGATGATTGTGATGATTGTGGTGATTGTGATGATGATTATATACTTCATATAGATCCAAATCGGCAAATAGATTCAAATCGGATGTTTTCAGGTTTCATCGGAGATTGCAAGATAATGCAAGTATACTGTAAATGAAAATCCCATGTTCAAAAGTACGATTCAACGTTTAGCTTTGTGGTTAGCTTTCAATGTACGAGTATCAAAGTTGTTTGCACTGTAATGGTCAAAGTTTTCCTCATGCTCTCGTCAACCAGCTACTGTTGCGTGCTGACCCCTGTGGAAGTTTGGTCCAATTGATTGATTGGTTGGTTGGTCCGCAAAAGTTGTTCTTCACGTTTTTGAACCAAATTAATCTTGGGCACGCATCCACACAATCTCGTGAATTGCCGAAACGCCCAATATTGCACATAAAGATTGAAGGGTGTTGCACTGCACACCTACAGAAGAACAAAACCACCGCGCTGAGAAAAAAAATGCCCAAACTCTCTTGGCGTCAATCTTTGACACTCTACAATTTCAGCCCGGAAGTGGATGCACGACGATGCAAGTGTGAAACCATGCACTGTAGCGTCAGCAAACTAAGTGAAACGACGAGCTCATGAAAATTCATCCAGTAGGCAAAGCTGATGGAAAATACCCCATTTGTATCCATTTGATTCCATTTGTATGTTATCCCAGCTACAAACCTCCATTTTGGATGGGGATTTCTCAGCTGTCCATGTTTGATGACCGAAGTGTCGCCACACCGACTTTCACCAGCCCCCTTTTCTCGCCACGATCACAGCGGTGTCATATCCCTGGCGTGTGCGGAACAGGCAGCCGGAACATGAGGCAGCCAGTAATCAGATTAATCAAGCAGCTCTAAATACCCAATGATCTCAACTTGGAAAAGAGACACTCCTCAAACACTCCTCAACCATATCCAAACTGTTTCTTGAAACTGACTCTTGTGCCGCATGGGAGCCGTGGGAAGCAACATGACCTTTTCGTTTGGAGGATCATCCCACGGATCAGAACTGGATTGAAACCATTCGACCATCAAATCGACCATCTCCAAGGTTGGACCCTATCGTACCGCTGCACCAAGCCAGCCTGAGACTTCACAATCTGCCACTATCTGCGGTCCAAGACATACCTGGCACCGGTGGGAAGACTAACAAAACAGTTTTGAGAACTTGTCAACTTTGTCTAACCGAGTCTACCCACGGGGTGAAAAAAATTGAGACCAACCGGTGGAGATGCCGGAAACCAACTGGGTGGCGAGCTGGTGGACGCAGGAGGCAGCGCGCTTACGGCAACGGCATGGCACGGCATCCCCGGTTTTTGGAGCCGCGAATTGCTTCAGCTTGAACATTTCATTAGGTTTCAATGTTCGAGAAAATAGTTCAATGTTTGGATGATCGTGGCTTTATTGTGAAAGCAGGAACACTATCCATACCATTCTAGAAAATTCAAGATTCTCATCCTGACACTTAGGATTTGCCGTTGACTATGACCATCGTCACCACAGTAAATTTGGAACAAAGGATGACCGAATGAGTTGGATGAAAAAACATAAACACTATGTTCGTGACTACAGTTAGGTGGGTGTTTTTTTATTGGATCTAAGAACCAGAGAATGAGGGAGCCAGCGAGTGACTTCGGACAATGGAACAGAGAGAGTGCTACAACACTACTGGAGTTCATAGGAGATTCAGTACGAGCTAGCAACTACCAGGATGATCTGCAAGTACATGAAAGTATGCTGCCATGGATTCTTAACTACACACTCCAAAGTATAGAAGCCTTTCCATATACCAAAAAATATAATATATAAGTAGAGCGTACCATGAGACTGAATCTGTCAAATGGTGAGGTATGAATGGAGTGGCCATTGATAGGGTTGACATGCCCATCATTCAGAAGTTCTCCTCTGCCTAAAGGAGTTGGTGTTTACTCCCAGACACACTGATTTCTTTGTATATCATACTCTGAATCCAGCTCGAAGTGAATCTCTTCTGAGATTTGTTGTGCAAGGTGCAAATCTTTCGGCGCCTGGAATGTTGGGATTTGGTATGAACTGGCACTAGACTGCAGGGCTGCCTTGGGTGCACAATTTTGATTCGCAGTTGCATGGGGTTGTTTAACCCCCTCCTTCCGCACGCTGAGCGCTCGATTAAACTTCTGGCTCCGGACAGCATCATGTGTAAGGGCCGAAGCGTGTGAGACCTGTCTTTCCTGTTCAATGTAACTCCAGGTTTCGGATAATTCCAGCGCAGCAACCTGCAAGCTGAATCTGAAGGACCCTAGTTGATTCATCGCTGATTCATCCAAATTCTGGAAACCTCGCATTTCTGCATCACGCATTTCGTGAAGGAAAAAAATCTCAGCAAATCCATCAAACCGTCAAACCATTCAGAAATAAAGAGAGCTCTTACATCACCTCGGAGGGTTCACCTGGTTTTCCAAGACCACCAATCCATGTCGGCCTAAAAAAGGGGATCCATGGCCTCACCCCAGAGCTGTCCCGGCCTCACCACTCCTCCTCCTCCTCGTCCTCCTCGTCCTCTTCCTCCTCCTCCTCCTCCTCCTCGTCCTCCTCGTCCTCCTCGTCCTCCTCATCCCAGGAACACGTCAAGGGAACGCCCTTCCTGTTTCGCTCCTCCATCGCCTCCGTCAGGGCCTGGTTTGGTTGACGAATCAGTCGCCAGCGGACAGCACAATGCAGCACATTGGGCAAGTCTCAACCCGAGATGAACGATGAAACACCAGCACCTCCAAACCATCCAAACTTGTCACTGTCAAATGTCAAAGCATGTCGAAAACATGGCATCATGACATGCCGCAGCATTCAGCCATTCTGCGAAGCCCACCGCACACCAGGCCTTGGCCCCCTCGGCACCAATCTGGTTGTCTTCCAAATTGATATCTGTGACGGACGTGTTTATCTTCAGCGCCTCGGCCAAGGCCTGGAGGCAGCAACAGATCAAGGCTGGCACGTTGTTCAAGGGTTCTACCGTCAAAACCTGATCACTGAAATCCCGCGAACAATTGACATTCAACTGCGACATGTCGAATCTCTCTGATTCAAAACTTGGAAAAACAATCCAGAATTCCAAGGTTCTATTCAGCAACTACATACAGTATGGCATACAGCTGGATTGCGAGTATTTGACAACTCAACTCGATCCGAGATGAACGATGAAACTACAGCACCTCCAAACCATCCAAACTTCTCACTGTAAGAGGATGTCGAAAACACGACATCATGACATGCCGCAGCATTCAGCGATTCTGCGGAGCCCACCACACACCAGGCCTTCACACCCTCGTCGCCAATCTGGTTGTTGGGCAAATTGATGTCTGTGACTGACGCATTTATCTTCAGTGCCTCGGCTAAGGCCTGGAGGCAGCGACAGATCAAGGTTGGCGTCTTGTTCGAGGGCCCTTCAAACAAAACCTGATTTCTGAAATGCTCAGAAAAAAGGACATTCAACTGAGACATGTCGAATCTCTCTGATTCAAAACTTGGAAAAACAATCCAGACATCCACAGTTTCAGTCAGATCATTCAGCAATATTCAGCATCCGCATATTTGCTGACAACTCAACTCTATCAAAGATGAATGATGAAACTACAGCACCTCCAAACCATCCCAACTTCTTTCTGTCAAAGGATGTCGAAAACATGACATCATGACATGCCGCAGCATTCAGCGATTCTGCGGAGCCCACCACACACCAGGCCTTCACACCCTCGTCGCCAATCTGGTTGTTGGACAAATTGATGTCTGTGACTGACGCATTTATCTTCAGTGCCTCGGCTAAGGCCTGGAGGCAGCGACAGATCAAGGTTGGCGTCTTGTTCGAGGGCCCTTCAAACAAAACCTGATATCTGAAATGCTCAGAAAAAAGGACATTCAACTGAGACATGTCGAATCTCTCTGATTCAAAACTTGAAAAAACAATCCAGAAATCCATGGTTTCATTCAGCATCTACATACAGTATATGAATGTATATGACATACAGCTGGATTGGGAGTATTTGACAACTCAACTCGATCCGAGATGAACGATGAAACTACAGCACCTGCAAACCATCCAAACTTCTCACTGTAAGAGGATGTCGAAAACACGACATCATGACATGCCGCAGCATTCAGCGGAGCCCACCACACACCAGGCCTTGGCGCCCTCGGCACGAATCTGGTTTTTATACAAATTGATGTTCGTGACGCACTTGTTGATTTTAAGTGCCTCCGCCAAGGCCTGGAGGCAGCGACAGATCAAGGTTGGCATCTTGTTCGTGGTTCTACTGTCAAAACCTGATTTCTGAAATCCCGCGAACAATTAACATTCAACTGAGACATGTCGAATCTCTCTGATTCAAAACTTGGAAAAACAATCCAGACATCCACAGTTTCAATCAGATCATTCAGCAATATTCAGCATCCGCATATTTGCTGACAACTCAACTCTATCAAAGATGAATGATGAAACTACAGCACCTCCAAACCATCCCAACTTCTTTCTGTCAAAGGATGTCGAAAACATGACATCATGACATGCTGCAGCATTCAGCGATTCTGCGGAGCCCACCACACACCAGGCCTTCACACCCTCGTCGCCAATCTGGTTGTTGGACAAATTGATGTCTGTGACTGACGCATTTATCTTCAGTGCCTCGGCTAAGGCCTGGAGGCAGCGACAGATCAAGGTTGGCGTCTTGTTCGAGGGCCCTTCAAACAAAACCTGATTTCTGAAATGCTCAGAAAAAAGGACATTCAACTGAGACATGTCGAATCTCTCTGATTCAAAACTTGGAAAAACAATCCAGAAATCCATGGTTTCATTCAGCATCTACATACAGTATATGAATGTATATGACATACAGCTGGATTGGGAGTATTTGACAACTCAACTCGATCCGAGATGAACGATGAAACTACAGCACCTGCAAACCATCCAAACTTCTCACTGTAATTAAGAGGATGTCGAAAACACGACATCATGAGATGCCGCAGCATTCAGCAATTCTGCGGAGCCCACCACACACCGGGCCTTGACGCCCTCGTCACCAATCTGGTTCCATGACAAAGTGATGTTCGTGACGGACCTGTTTATCTTCAGTGCCTCGGCCAAGGCCTGGAGGCAGCGACAGATCAAGGTTGGCATTTTTTCTTCGTGGTTCTACCGTCAAAACCTGATCACTGAAATCCCGCAAACAATTGACATTCAAGTGAGAAATGTCGAATCTCTCTGATTCAAAACTTGGAAAAACAATCCAGAAATCCAAGGTTTCATTCAGCATCTACATACAGTATGACATACAGCTGGGTTGGGAGTATTTGACAACTCAACTCGATCCGAGATGAACGATGAAACTACAGCACCTGCAAACCATCCAAACTTCTCACTGTAAGAGGATTTCGAAAACATGGCATCATGAGATACCGCAGCATTCAGCGATTCTGCGGAGCCCACCACACACCAGGCCTTGGCGCCCTCGGCGCCAATCTGGTTGCCAACCAAATTGATGTTCGTGACGGACCCGTTTATCTTCAGTGCCTCGGCCAAGGCCTGGAGGCAGCGACAAATTAAGGTTGGCGTCTTGTTAGAGGGCCCTTCGGGCAAAACCTGATTTCTGTTAAAAAAAAAAAGGACATTCAACTGAGACATGTCGAATCTCTCTGATTCAAAACTTGGAAAAACAATCCAGAAATCCAAGGTTTCATTCAGCATCTACATACAGTATGACATACAGCTGGGTTGGGAGTATTTGACAACTCAACTCGATCCGAGATTAACGATGGAACTACAGCACCTCCAAACCATCCAAACTTCTCACTGTCAAAGGATGTCGAAAACATGACGACATCATGACATGCCGCAGCATTCAGCGATTCTGTGGAGCCCACCACACACCAGGCCTTGGCGCCCTCGTCGCCAATCTGGTTGTTGAACAAAAAAATGCACGGGAGGGACGCGTTTATCTTCAGTGCCTCGGCAAAGGCCTGGAGGCAGGAACATATCAAGGTCGGCGTCTTGTTCGAGGGCCCTTCGGACAAAACCTGATTTCTGAAATGCTCAAAAATGCACAAAAAAAAGGACATTCAACTGAGACATGTCGAATCTCTCTGATTCAAAACTTGGAAAAACAATCCAGAAATCCAAGGTTTCATTCAGCATCTACATACAGTATGACATACAGCTGGATTGGGAGTATTTGACAACTCAACTCGATCCGAAATTAACGATGATGAAACTACAGCACCTGCGAACCATCCAAACTTCTCACTGTAAGAGGATGTCGGTTCGAAAAATATGACACATGACATGCCGCAGCATTCAGCGATTCTGCGGAGCCCACCACACCACCAGGCCTTGGCCCCTCGGCGCCAATCTGGTTGTCTTCCAAATTGATGTTCGTGACGGACCCGTTATCTTCAGTGCCTCGGCCAAGGCCTGGAGGCAGCGACAGATTAAGGTTGGCGTCTTGTTAGAGGGCCCTTCGGGCAAAAACTTGATTTCTGTAAAAAAAAAAAAGGACATTCAACTGAGACATGTCGAATCTCTCTGATTCAAACTTGGAAAAACAATCCAGAAATCCAAGGTTTCATTCAGCATCTCCATACAGTATGACATACAGCTGGATGGGAGTATTTGACAACTCAACTCGATCCGAGATGAACGATGAAACTACAGCACCTGCAAACCATCCAAACTTCTCACTGTAAGAGGATGTCGAAAACATGACGACATCATGACATGCCGCAGCATTCAGCGATTCTGCGGAGCCCACCACACACCAGGCCTTGGCACCCTCGGCGCCAATCTGGTTGTCTTCCAAATTGATGTTCGTGACGGACCCGTTTATTTTTAGTGCCTCGGCCAAGGCCTGGAGGCAGCGACAGATTAAGGTTGGCGTCTTGTTAGAGGGCCCTTCGGGCAAAACCTGATTTCTGTTTAAAAAAAAAAAGGACATTCAACTGAGACATGTCGAATCTCTCTGATTCAAAACTTGGAAAAACAATCCAGAAATCCAAGGTTTCATTCAGCATCTACATACAGTATGACATACAGCTGGGTTGGGAGTATTTGACAACTCAACTCGATCCGAAATTAACGATGAAACTACAGCCCCTCCAAAGCATCCAAACTTGTCACTGTCAGAGGATGTCGAAAACATGACAGCATGACAGCATGACATGCCACAGCATTCAGCGATTCTGCGGAGCCCCCACACACCAGGCCTTGGCACCCTCCTCGCCAATATTGTTGCATCGCAAATTAATGTTTGCGACCGACGCGTTTATCTTCAGCACCTCGGCCAAGGCCTGGAGGCAGCGTCATTCGATTTCAGGGCCCTTCGGACAAAACCTGATTTCTGAAATGCTCAAAAATGCTCAAAAAAAAGGACATTCAACTGAGACATGTCCAATCTCTCGGATTCAAAACCTGGAAAAACAATCCAGAAATCCAGTTTCATTCAGCATCTACGTACAGAGTCATACAGCTGGATTGGGAGTATTTGACATCTCAACTCGATCCGAGATGAACGATGAAACTACAGTAACTACAGCACCTGCAAACCATCCAAACTTCTTTCTGTTAGAGGATTTCGAAAACATGACATCATGACATGCCGCAGCATTCAGCGATTCTGCGGAGCCCACCACACACCAGGCCTTGGCACCCTCGGCGCCAATCTGGTTGTCTTCCAAATTGATGTTCGTGACGGACCCGTTTATCTTCAGTGCCTCGGCCAAGGCCTGGAGGCAGCGACAGATTAAGGTTGGCGTCTTGTTAGAGGGCCCTTCGGGCAAAACCTGATTTCTGTAAAAAAAAAAAGGACATTCAACTGAGACATGTCGAATCTCTCTGATTCAAAACTTGGAAAAACAATCCAGAAATCCAAGGTTTCATTCAGCATCTACATACAGTATGACATACAGCTGGATTGGGAGTATTTGACAACTCAACTCGATCCGAGATGAACGATGAAACTACAGCACCTGCAAACCATCCAAACTTCTCACTGTAAGAGGATGTCGAAAACATGACGACATCATGACATGCCGCAGCATTCAGCGATTCTGCGGAGCCCACCACACACCAGGCCTTGGCACCCTCGGCGCCAATCTGGTTGTCTTCCAAATTGATGTTCGTGACGGACCCGTTTATCTTCAGTGCCTCGGCCAAGGCCTGGAGGCAGCGACAGATTAAGGTTGGCGTCTTGTTAGAGGGCCCTTCGGGCAAAACCTGATTTCTGTAAAAAAAAAAAGGACATTCAACTGAGACATGTCGAATCTCTCTGATTCAAAACTTGGAAAAACAATCCAGAAATCCAAGGTTTCATTCAGCATCTACATACAGTATGACATACAGCTGGGTTGGGAGTATTTGACAACTCAACTCGATCCGAAATTAACGATGAAACTACAGCCCCTCCAAAGCATCCAAACTTGTCACTGTCAGAGGATGTCGAAAACATGACAGCATGACAGCATGACATGCCACAGCATTCAGCGATTCTGCGGAGCCCCCACACACCAGGCCTTGGCACCCTCCTCGCCAATATTGTTGCATCGCAAATTAATGTTTGCGACCGACGCGTTTATCTTCAGCACCTCGGCCAAGGCCTGGAGGCAGCGTCATTCGATTTCAGGGCCCTTCGGACAAAACCTGATTTCTGAAATGCTCAAAAATGCTCAAAAAAAAGGACATTCAACTGAGACATGTCCAATCTCTCGGATTCAAAACCTGGAAAAACAATCCAGAAATCCAGTTTCATGCAGCATCTACGTACAGAGTCATACAGCTGGATTGGGAGTATTTGACATCTCAACTCGATCCGAGATGAACGATGAAACTACAGTAACTACAGCACCTGCAAACCATCCAAACTTCTCACTGTAAGAGGATGTCGAAAACATGACGACATCATGACATGCCGCAGCATTCAGCGATTCTGCGGAGCCCACCACACACCAGGCCTTGGCACCCTCGGCGCCAATCTGGTTGTCTTCCAAATTGATGTTCGTGACGGACCCGTTTATTTTTAGTGCCTCGGCCAAGGCCTGGAGGCAGCGACAGATTAAGGTTGGCGTCTTGTTAGAGGGCCCTTCGGGCAAAACCTGATTTCTGTTTAAAAAAAAAAAGGACATTCAACTGAGACATGTCGAATCTCTCTGATTCAAAACTTGGAAAAACAATCCAGAAATCCAAGGTTTCATTCAGCATCTACATACAGTATGACATACAGCTGGGTTGGGAGTATTTGACAACTCAACTCGATCCGAAATTAACGATGAAACTACAGCCCCTCCAAAGCATCCAAACTTGTCACTGTCAGAGGATGTCGAAAACATGACAGCATGACAGCATGACATGCCACAGCATTCAGCGATTCTGCGGAGCCCCCACACACCAGGCCTTGGCACCCTCCTCGCCAATATTGTTGCATCGCAAATTAATGTTTGCGACCGACGCGTTTATCTTCAGCACCTCGGCCAAGGCCTGGAGGCAGCGTCATTCGATTTCAGGGCCCTTCGGACAAAACCTGATTTCTGAAATGCTCAAAAATGCTCAAAAAAAAGGACATTCAACTGAGACATGTCCAATCTCTCGGATTCAAAACCTGGAAAAACAATCCAGAAATCCAGTTTCATTCAGCATCTACGTACAGAGTCATACAGCTGGATTGGGAGTATTTGACATCTCAACTCGATCCGAGATGAACGATGAAACTACAGTAACTACAGCACCTGCAAACCATCCAAACTTCTTTCTGTTAGAGGATTTCGAAAACATGACATCATGACATGCCGCAGCATTCAGCGATTCTGCGGAGCCCACCACACACCAGGCCTTGGCGCCCTCGTCGCCGATCTGGTTGAATTCCAACTCGATGTTCGTGACGGACCCGTTTATCTTCAGTGCCTCGGCCAAGGCCTGGAGGCAGCGACAGATCAAGGCTTTCAGTCAAAAGGTATAGTGTGAATAGAAACCTGGCCATAGCCTTTTAAAGTGTCCAGGTTTCCAAGGAACAACGACATGGAAAGAACTTAACCTGTATGTATGTGATTAAGGGCATGCACATTCTCACGCATGAGCGCGATCCGTGCACATAGACACTTGAATTAAAAAAACTGTCGCCATTGTCACGCGAGACGGCAAATGGGCCTTGAGACGGACTGGAGTTTCGAAAGGAGTTCTGCGCGCTTGCCTGCCACTCTCTTCCTGCCAACATGTGCTAAGGGCATGCCATGGGGAAAGCGGGTCGGACCAAAGTGTCTGTAAAAACTGTCCGCCGTGCCTGCCAGCCTTCAACGGTTTGCAGCACAAAATCAAACACATTGATCACACATTGATCAGAAAACATGGAGCCTGCAAAGGAAACATGTGAGACACCTGGGGTCACCCTGAAGGAATCACACCCTCTGCTGAAGCTACCTCTGATTGAATTCAGAAAATCTTTATATCAGTCTCTTATATTGAAATCTGGAATGGTTCTCTGCAGCAAGATTAACTGGAAATAACTGCGTATGTGACTCCTGTTGTAAAAATGCCCTAGATTTGATCAAAACATAGTCAAAGGAAATGCAAACTCCAGCTCATTCTACATCAAACGGAAATTCGGAAATGTAATCTAACTGCAAGTGGATGAAGAGAATACTACTATATCCCAGATCATTGGTAGAGGAGGTCTCCTCCAGAATTCTAAGGATGAAGAACCTGGATTCAATTTGCCTGGATGCTGTTTTAATTCATTAACCAGGAGCATGTCTATTCACTCACGTCAAAAGAGAAAACGATGAGGCTGCAATCCTACGTCTGACTGCCAAAAAATGACATCATGACATGCCGCAGCATTCAGTGAGTATTCTGTGAAGCCCACCACACACACCAGGCCTTGGCACCCTCAGCGCCAATCTGGTTGTATTGCAAAGCGATGTTCGTCATGGACTTGTTGATCTCCAGTGCCTCAGCCAAGGCCTGGAGGCAGCGACATATCAAGGTCGGCGTCTTGCTCGAGGGCTCTATGGTCAAAACAAAATCACATTTAACTCTGACATCTGAATCTCTCTGATTCAAGACTTGGCAAACAATCCAGAAATCAACAGTTGCTTACAGCCTCTACATATTTGACAACTCTCCTCGATCAGAGATGAACGATGAACTACAGCACCTCCAAACAAACAACATTTCTTTCTGTCAAAGAATGTCGAGGACATGACATGAATACATGCCGCTGCATTCAATGGAGACAACCGCACACCAGGCCTTGGCACCCTCGGCACCAATGTAGTTGTATTCCCAGTTGATGTTCGTGACGGACGAGTTTATCTTCAGCGCCTCGGCCAAGGCCTGGAAACGGAGACAGAGCAAGGCTGGCGTCTTCATCCAGGGCTCTACCGTTCAAATCGTGATCACTGAAATCCGGAGAACACGTGACATTTAACTCTGACATGTGAATCTCTCTGATACAGAACTTTGCAAACAATCCAGAAATCAACAGTTGCTTGCAGCATCTACATATTTGACCACTAGCCTTGAACAGAGATGAATGATGAAACTACAGGACCTCCAAACCATCCAAACTTGTCACTGTCAAAGGATGTCAAAAACATGACATCATGAGATGCAGCAGCATTCAGCGATTCTGCGGAGCCCATCCCACACACCAGGCCTTGGCGCCCTCGGTGCCAATGTCGTTGGAAATCAAACCGATGCTCGTGACGGACGCGTTTGTCTTCAGCGCCTCGGCCAAGGCCTGGAAACGGAGACAGAGCAAGGCTGGCGTCTTCATCCAGGGTTCTACTGTTCAAATCGTGATCACTGAAATCCGGAGAACACATGACATTTAACTCTGACATGTGAATCTCTCTGATACAGAACTTGCAGAAATCAACAGTTGCTTACAGCATCTACATATTCGACAACTCTCTTTGAACAGAGATGAATGATGAAACTACAGGACATCCAAACCATCCAAACTTGTCACTGTCAAAGGATGTCGAAAACATGACATCATGAGATGCAGCAGCATTCAGCGAGTTCTGCGGCGCCCATCCCACACACCAGGCCTTGGCGCCCTCGGTGCCAATCTCGTTACCTCCCAAATTGGTGTTCATGACGGACGAGTTTATCTTCAGCGCCTCGGCCAAGGCCTGGAAACGGAGACAGAGCAAGGCTGGCGTCTTCATCCAGGGTTCTACTGTTCAAATCATGATATTTAACTCTGACATGTGAATCTCTCTGATACAGAACTTTGCAAACAATGCAGAAATCGACAGTTGCTTACAGCATCTACATATTCGACAACTCTCCTTGAACAGAGATGAATGATGAAACTACAGGACATCCAAACCATCCAAACTTGTCACTGTCAAAGGATGTCGAAAACATGACATCATGAGATGCAGCAGCATTCAGCGATTCTGCGGCGCCCATCCCACACACCAGGCCTTGGCGCCCTCGGCACCAATGTTGTTGTATTCCCAGTTGATGTTCGTGACGGACGCGTTTGTCTTCAGCGCCTCGGCCAAGGCCTGGAAACGGACACAGAGCAAGGCTGGCGTCTTCATCCAGGGTTCTACTGTTCAAATCGTGATCACTGAAATCCGGAGAACACATGACATTTAACTCTGACATGTGAATCTCTCTGATACAGAACTTAGCAAACAATGCAGAAATCAACAGTTGCTTACAGCATCTACATATTCGACAACTCTCTTTGAACAGAGATGAATGATGAAACTACAGGACATCCAAACCATCCAAACGTGTCACTGTCAAAGGATGTCGAAAACATGACATCATGAGATGCAGCAGCATTCAGCGAGTTCTGCGGCGCCCATCCCACACACCAGGCCTTGGCGCCCTCGGTGCCAATCTCGTTACCTCCCAAATTGATGTTCATGACGGACGAGTTTATCTTCAGCGCCTCGGCCAAGGCCTGGAAACGGAGACAGAGCAAGGCTGGCGTCTTCATCCAGGGTTCTACTGTTCAAATCATGATATTTAACTCTGACATGTGAATCTCTCTGATACAGAACTTTGCAAACAATGCAGAAATCGACAGTTGCTTACAGCATCTACATATTCGACAACTCTCCTTGAACAGAGATGAATGATGAAACTACAGGACATCCAAACCATCCAAACTTGTCACTGTCAAAGGATGTCGAAAACATGACATCATGAGATGCAGCAGCATTCAGCGATTCTGCGGCGCCCATCCCACACACCAGGCCTTGGCGCCCTCGGCACCAATGTTGTTGTATTCCCAGTTGATGTTCGTGACGGACTTGTTGATCTGCAGTGCCTCGGCCAAGGCCTGGAGGCAGCGACAGATCAAGGTTGGCGTCTAGATTTTAAGCGCCCTACAGACAAAACCTTAGATCTGAAATCCTCTGACCAAAGGACATTTAATTTAACTAAGACCTGCAAATCTCTCTGATTGAACCCTTGCAAGAACAATCCAGAAATCAACAGTTGCTTGCAGCATCTACATATTTCACAACTAGCCTTGAACAGAGATGAATGATGAAACTACAGGACCTCCAAACCATCCAAACTTGTCACTGTCACAGGATGCCGGGAAAGTATGGGAAAGTGACATCATGACATGCCGCAGCATTCAGCGGAGCCCATCCCACACACCAGGCCTTGGCCCCCTCGGCACCAATGTCGTTCAATGACAAATCAATGTTCGTGACGGACGAGTTTATCTTCAGAGCCTCGGCCAAGGCCTGGAAACGGAGACAGAGCGATGTCGAAAACATATGAAAACAGAAGCATTCAGCGGTGGGCTCTACCGTCAAAACCTGATCACTGAAATCCTGAGAACATCTGAGAACAAATATATGCAAATATGAAAAAAAAACATTTAACTCAAACATGTGAATCTCTCTGATGCGAAACTTCGCAAACAATGGCAATCAACCCAGAAATCCAAACTTTCATTCACCATCTACATGTTCGAAGAAGTCTCCTCGATCAACCATGAATGACGAAACTCCAGCACCTCCAAACCATCCAAACTTGTCACTGTCACAGGATGCCGGGAAAGTATGGGAAAGTGACATCATGACATGCCGCAGCATTCAGCGGAGCCCATCCCACACACCAGGCCTTGGCCCCCTCGGCACCAATCTTGTTGTGTGCCAAATCGATGTTCGTGACGGACGAGTTTATCTTCAGCGCCTCGGCCAAGGCCTGGAAACAGGGACAGATCAAGGCTGGCGTCTTCATCCAGGGCTCTACCGTTCAAATCGTGATCACTGAAATCCGGAGAACACATGACATTTAACTCTGACATCTGAATCTCTCTGATACAGAACTTAGCAAACAATGCAGAAAGCGACAGTTGCTTACAGCATCTACATATTTGACAACTCTCCTTGAACAGAGATGAATGATGAAACTACAGGACCTCCAAACCATCCAAACTTGTCACTGTCAAAGGATGTCGAAAACATATGAAAACAGAAGCATTCAGCGGTGGGCTCTACTGTCAAAACCTGATCAATGAAATCCTGAGAACAAATATATTCAAATATGAAAAAAAAACATTTAACTCAAACATGTGAATCTCTCTGATGCGAAACTTAGCAAACAATGGCAATCAACCCAGAAATCCAAACTTTCATTCAGAAATTCACCATCTACATGTTCAAAGAAGTCTCCTCGATCAACCATGAATGACGAAACTCCAGCACCTCCAAAGCGTCCAAACTTGTCACTGTCACAGGATGCCGGGAAAGTATGGGAAAGTGACATCATGACATGCCGCAGCATTCAGCGGAGCCCATCCCACACACCAGGCCTTGGCCCCCTCGGCACCAATGTCGTTCAATGACAAATCAATGTTCGTGACGGACGAGTTTATCTTCAGCGCCTCGGCCAAGGCCTGGAAACAGAGACAGATCAAGGCTGGCGTCTTCATCCAGGGCTCTACCGTTCAAATCGTGATCACTGAAATCCCGCGAACAATTGACATTCAACTGAGACATGTCGAATCTCTCTGATTTACGACTTGGAAAAGCATGGAAAAACAATCCAGAAATCCACAGTTTCATTCAGCATCTACATATTTGCTGGCAACTCAACTCGATCCAAGATGAACGATAAAACTATAGCACCTCCAAAGCGTCCAAACTTCACTGTCAAAGGATAAAGTATGGGAAAGTGACATCATGACATGCCGCAGCATTCAGCGGAGCCCATCCCACACACAAGGCCTTGGCGCCCTCGGCACCAATCTTGTTGTGTGCCAAATCGATGTTCGTGACGGACGAGTTTATCTTCAGCGCCTCGGCCAAGGCCTGGAAACAGAGACAGATCAAGGCTGGCGTCTTCATCCAGGGCTCTACCGTTCAAATCGTGATCACTGAAATCCGGAGAACACATGACATTTAACTCTGACATGTGAATCTCTCTGATACAGAACTGAGCAAACAATGCAGAAAGCGACAGTTGCTTACAGCATCTACATATTCGACAACTCTCCTTGAACAGAGATGAATGATGAAACTACAGGACATCCAAACCATCCAAACTTGTCACTGTCAAAGGATGTCGAAAACATATGAAAACAGAAGCATTCAGCGGTGGGCTCTACCGTCAAAACCTGATCACTGAAATCCTGAGAACATCTGAGGACAAATATATGCAAATATGAAACAATTACACTTAACTCAGACATGTGAATCTCTCTGATGCGAAACTTAGCAAACAATGGCAATCAACCCAGAAATCCTTACTTTCATTCACCATCTACATTTTCGAAGAAGTCTCCTCGAACAACTATGAATGGCGAATATCCAGCACCTCCAAACCATCCAAACTTGTCACTGTCAAAGGATGTCGGGGACATGACATCATGACATGCCGCAGCATTCAGCGATTCTGCGGAGCCCATCCCACACACCAGGCCTTGGCGCCCTTGGCACCAATGCCGTTGGAAATCAAACCGATGCTCGTGACGGACGAGTTTGTCTTCAGCGCCTCGGCCAAGGCCTGGAAACAGAGACAGATCAAGGCTGGCGTCTTCATCCAGGGCTCTACCGTTCAAATCGTGATCACTGAAATCCGGAGAACACATGACATTTAACTCTGACATGTGAATCTCTCTGATACAGAACTTAGCAAACAATGCAGAAAGCGACAGTTGCTTACAGCATCTACATATTTGACAACTCTCCTTGAACAGAGATGAATGACGAAACTCCAGCACCTCCAAACCATCCAAACTTGTCACTGTCACAGGATGCCGGGAAAGTATGGGAAAGTGACATCATGACATGCAGCAGCATTCAGCGATTCTGCGGAGCCCATCCCACACACCAGGCCTTGGCCCCCTCGGCACCAATCTTGTTGTGTGCCAAATCGATGTTCGTGACGGACGAGTTTATCTTCAGCGCCTCGGCCAAGGCCTGGAAACAGCGACAGAGAATATGGTAAATATCCCAACTTGTGTTTTCTATTTGGGAGGGTTGTCCTCCGTCTCAAAACTCCTCGACTAGACCCCGGAATTTCCTCCTAGCCCTCGTCGGACGTTCTTGCTTATTCGCTTCGGACCATCTTTCTTTTTTAATGGCGGCGCAATGCTTTGTCCGGGTGCCCTTTTTTTCACTTGTTGGTTTCCCCCTTTCCCCCCCAGTCTTATCTTTTATATTCTTAATGCGATTATTCTTTTCACTTCGCTGTCATTTAGCAGAGAGAGCTCTGCTGGCGTCTTCATCCAGGGCTCTACCGTTCAAATCGTGATCACTGAAATCCGGAGAACACATGACATTTAACTCTGACATGTGAATCTCTCTGATACAGAACTTAGCAAACAATGCAGAAAGCGACAGTTGCTTACAGCATCTACATATTTGACAACTCTCCTTGAACAGAGATGAATGACGAAACTCCAGCACCTCCAAACCATCCAAACTTGTCACTGTCACAGGATGTCGGGAAAGTATTGGAAAGCGACATCATGACATTCAGCAGCATTCAGCGATTCTGCGGAGCCCATCCCACTCACCAGGCCTTGGCCCCCTCGGCACCAATCTTGTTGTGTGCCAAATCGATGTTCGCGACGGACGAGTTTATCTTCAACGCCTCGGCCAAGGCCTGGAGGCAGAGACAGATCAAGGCTGGCGTCTTCATCCAGGGCTCTACCGTTCAAATCGTGATCACTGAAATCCGGAGAACACATGACATTTAACTCTGACATGTGAATCTCTCTGATACAGAACTTAGCAAACAACGCAGAAATCGACAGCTGCTTACAGCATCTTCATATTCGACAACTCTCCTTGCGATGAAAGATGAATGATGAAACTCCAGCACCTCCAAACCATCCAAACTTGTCACTGTCACAGGATGCCGAGAAAGTATTGGAAAGCGACATCATGACATGCCGCAGCATTCAGCGATTCTGCGGAGCCCATCCCACACACCAGGCCTTGGCCCCCTCAGCGCCAATCTCGTTGTATTTCAAATCGATGTTCGCGACGGACGAGTTTGTCTTCAGCGCCTCGGCCAAGGCCTGGAAACGGAGACAGAGCAAGGCTGGCGTCTTCATCCAGGGCTCTATCGTTCAAATCGTGAATCTCTCTGATACAGAACTTAGCAAAAAATGCAGAAAGCGACAGTTGCTTACAGCATCTAAATACATATTTGACAACTCTCCTTGAACAGAGATGAATGATGAAACTACAGGACCTCCAAACCATCCAAACTTGTCACTGTCAAAGGATGTCGAAAACATATGAAAACAGAAGCATTCAGCGGTGGGTTCTACCGTCAAAACCTGATCACTGAAATCCTGAGAACACATGACATGTAACTCTGACATGTGAATCTCTCTGATACAGAACTTAGCAAACAATGCAGAAATCAACAGTTGCTGACAGCATCTACATATTTGACAACTCTCCTTGCGATGAAAGATGAATGATGAAACTCCAGCACCTCCAAACCATCCAAACTTGTCACTGTCAAAGGATGTCGAAAACATGACATCATGACATGCTGCAGCATTCAGCGATTCAGCGGAGCCCATCCCACACACCAGGCCTTGGCCCCCTCGGCACCAATCTGGTTGTATCGCAAATCGATGTTCGTGACGGACGCGTTTGTCTTCAGCGCCTCGGCCAAGGCCTGGAAACAGAGACAGATCAAGGCTGGCGTCTTCATCCAGGGCTCTATCGTTCAAACCGTGAGCACTGAAATCCGGAGAACACATGACATATCATGACATTTATTTGAGACATTCTCCCTGATACGAAATTTGAAAGAACAATCCAGAAATCCACAATTTCATTCAGGATATATCATGTTGACAGATGTCATTCAAACATTCGATTCATAGTCACCAAACTCAATGTAGGAACTTGGATCCTTGGGTCCTCTATGAGGAAGGTTTTGGCTATTGAGCCCAGCTAAATACCGAAAATAAAGCACAGTGTTTTTCAAAGAAACGGCATTGCCCTTTTTTTGAAACCTGCTTTTCTCATTTTTTCCTACCTGCCAGGTGAGGGATCTCTAGATTTTTACAAAAGTGCAACTTCTCCTCCACTCTCGTCTCCTGCTGCACGTCCGCTACTCCTCTGCCTTCCGCCAGCTCCCGGAACTCACAAATGCCAGCTCAAGTGGAATAATTTCCATCGCCCCAGAATTTTTTGGCGAGCTCCACATTCTATTGGCATCTATTCTGGCATAATTTGGGAAATTATATAGAGATATTCTAGCATTCTATCTGACGTCCTTTCTGCCATCTATTCTGACATTCCTCTCTGGCATTCTTTCCGGTATTCCATGTGGAATAAATTCTAACAGCCTATCTGACATTCTTTGTGTCATTTGTTCGGGTCCGTGCGTGCGCAGCCTGATCTCAGGCTCGCCACAGGCTTCGGGTCCGTGCGTGCCCAGACTGTCAAAATAGATGCGAGTTAGAGTGTCAAAATATGCCAGATGATACCAGATGGAATGTCAAAACGAATGTCAGATAAAATGCCAGAATATATGCCATATAGACTGCCAGAAAGAATGGGAACGTCACAAAAACAATGATATGTATATGCAAGAGAGAATGCCAGAAAGAATGTCACATAGAATGTCGGGGGTTATTCCAGATAGAATGCCAGAGAGCCCGTCAGAATACATATTATAATATGTTTAATCCCAGATGCTATGTCCGAAACTATGTCAGAATGACTTGTCAAGGTGGGAATCACACGCAACAAAGTAATTATTTATCTAAGTTCAATATAGGTGTAACTGCGTTTTTAAAGAATCGAAACAAGTCAGGTACGTACGATGCTTGGTGCGACGGTGCGATGGTGCGGTGCAATGGTGCACTGGTACGGTGCGATGGTACGGTGCGATGGTGCGATGGTACGGTGCGATGGTGCGATGGTACGGTGCGATGGTGCGATGGTACGGTGCGATGGTGTGATGGTATGGTACGATGGTGCGATGGTACGGTACGATGGTATGCGATTGTTTGCGATGGTACGCAACTGCATGCACCATGAGGTTGAGGTGGTGTGATGGTGTGGCTGCACTGGTAGATGGTGCCTGTCATGTTTTGCGATAGTATACTGATGAACCATGGGATGTTATACTGGTGTGGCACCATGGTAAGTCGTAATACAGGTTCATGTGTGCAAAGTCACAACCATCTACCTGTAATACTTAATTTTTCATAATTTTTCTAAGTTGCACAACGCCCAAAACCAATTAAGAGAATGTTTTAAACGAAAAGGTCCAAAATTCAGATTTTATAAATTCCTTATTATTTGTTTCGGTATGTTTCGGTGTCGCACGCGTGAAACCAATATAGCTTGATTTTTCTGGGAAACATTTAAACTCTCAAGTTTGCAGAGTTGATGTTCATTTGATGTCCATGATTTTTTTGGCATCGGCAAAAGCAGACATGCAAATGTATTCCAAGCAAACTTAACTGCAACTTTGGTGGATTTGTTTGGTATTGCATGGGCAGCAAAAAAATGAACATCAACTAGGCTTTGACAACAGGAGCACGATGTCGCAGACAAGGAGTCCAGTGTGTTTTATTGTGTTATAGATGTATTATATATATACTGTATATGGTTTGCTTTCGTGTCAATGTTGTTACTCTGAAGCACATGACCTATGCACGTTCCTCCTTGTTTCTTTCTGGTTGCAAGGTTTTGGCAAACATTGGGTTCAACAATTTGAAATCAAGTAAGAAAACTATAGAAAACTATATAATACAATTTGCTCCAATGAAACCAAAATCTCTCAGGGCATTTTTGTTTCAGGGCAGGTTTTTTGAATCCCGGCCAAAACTTTTCTTTGAGATGCTCTTCCCAGTGTTCCAAGGGGATATCAGCAGTGAAGTTGGCCTTCCTATGGGGGCAACTTGTGAGATTATTGGCGTGTTTCAAAAGGAGTCCAGCTGTTTTGAAAGGAAGAAGAAAGCTCTGACCAACAGTACCCCAGACCACAAAACGATGCAAACAAACATACCCTTACACAAAACCATGCAGTTGAAGGCAATGGGCGCCACAAGAGAAAATCGATTCGGGGCAGACGGTTGACGGTGCGATCTAATCTTAGTATTGAATCAGCAGTGATATATAGTTTGGCCAGGGGTCGATTAATAGTATGGTTGACATGTTGTGCGAAGAACATCCCACTTTCATGTCAAAGACTTTAATGACACATTAGGACATACTTTTCACTATACCGGCGCGCAAGTCTAAGCGTCAAACAAGAGTGAGGCAGGCTGAAATATTATACCATTGCAGGGGTGAAACCATGGGTTACCAACCATCAACCATTGAATATGTTTTTTCTGCTTCCGGCCTGGTTTCTTGATGGCCCCAGCTCTGGCCGTTGGCTGCACATGACACATGAAAAACACAAGCAGGCAAGCAGAATCTCCTACACTCAGCCATTCGCAAATTACCCGTACCACGGCATCGCGCCGTAACACTACATACCCATACATATCGTACTACGCCATTGTACCATTGTACTGTCTAACGTACCATCGTACCGTACCTTTGTACTGTACCATCGTACTGTACCCACTTTCACTTGTACGTACTTGTAGGGTGTTGGCCGTACCAATTCATTTTAAGTATTGGGTACAGTCAACATCCTACAAGTGGGTACAAGTGAAACCAGGTACGGTACGGTGGTACGGTGGTACGGTGGTACGGTGGTACGGTGGTACTGTTGCCCAGGCGCCAGCCGTGGAGCAAACCTCCTGAAGGGGAAAAAACATCAAATTGTGGATATGTGACCTTTGACCAACATTTATCACCATCAACATCACCACAATCATCACCATCATCATTCATCATCACATTTTCTTGTGTAATATCATCTCCTCCCTCCTGCTTTCTTTCGGGCCACACCGGCCACACTGTTGTCTACCTTGCTTAGATTGCCACAAACGATGAATTCTGCGTGGACTAAGTGAGCAACACACCCACAGAGCACAATATGAGCAGTTCATCGAGACAAAAAAAAGTAACCATGGCGGAATGAACATTTTTTTATGCAGAGACAGAGAACTTCGTGGTAATACTTGCCAAAAAAAATGTTTCCGTACCAACTTCATGTACCTTGCAAGTTTTCATCAAGATTGACTTTGCAAACTAATTTAGTGTACCGTGCAAGCCAAGCCAATTTGATTTGCAGATGTGCAATTGACACAATCTGATTCTTTTGCTAGCATTGCAGACTGAATTAATTTCTCTAAAAAATATTGACTATAGTTTGCTTGAATGCTGGCCACTACAAAATACAGATGAACATGAACTGCTTGACTTCACCCCTCAGCTTTGTTCAATGTAGCCTTTCCGCTGTTGGATCAAATCTCCAACTCATTATACACAACCACAAAACACACAAACTGTTCATGACATGTAGCTGTGCAGATCTGTGTAGCCCATTTCAACACCAAAACCCTTTGTAGAATGGGTTGGTAGGAAAAATCAACTCAATTGAACAAGCATACCACGAAAGACAGGCCGCCTTAGTATCAAATCAAAGCCGACTCAAAACACATCTCAATGCCGCTGACTTAGTTGCACATTGCACATCCCTATTCCGGCCGTACCGTTAAAGGCAGCCTCGTTCCATTCGGTACTGGTTTAATAGCCTTGAATTCACGTCATGTTGCAAGGCACAAAACATGCCATCAAGTCCTTTACAAAAAAATATTCGAGCAAAGCTGTCAAAAAAGACCTTCAATCAATTGCTGGAAATAGTTGTGTGATTTGTGAGTATCCTTATCGGCAATTTAGCAATTCAGTCAAACAACCGTTAGCTCCAGAAATATTGTTAAGACATATTGTTAGCTGCAACATCCCATATATTATATATTTAAAACATATGTTAGATTTTTTAAACATTTTAAAACTAGTTTGATTGTCAATCACTTAATAAGTTTACCAGGTTACCAATTTAAACATATCATATGGTTTAGTCTATGTCATAGAATATGTAGAATACATCTTTTCAAATTTCAGCAATTGTGTATCAAATTTCATCATTTTTGTACTAGTAGTTACTAGATTAAATTGTATGTGTGTGTAATAAATATAATATACATATGTGTATGCGCCGTTATTGATAAACATATAATCACTGAAATGCTTTCTTGACGTCGACAATGTATGGTTTGTTTTGGGATTGTTTTCACAATCTGAAAATTCAAGATTTAACAATCGTCAAAGTATCGTACCACTGTACCATACATCATCTACTGTACAATCGTACCATCGTACCATACATATACTGTATCATTGTACCACCGTACCGCACCACCGTACCTATCGTACTAGGGGTATATCGTACCAGGATTTAAGTATCTATAACCACACCTATCTTGAACCTAGATAAGTAATTATTTTAAGGCTGTTCGCACCCCATGCGTGTTGAATGCCATGAGTCGGACAATAGTGGTTTCGTTGTTCTTGCATAAATTGTTTTCTTTTCTCAACACATGTCATTGAATCTTCCAAGGACGATGGATGAAAACGAGTGCACCATGACATGCACAAAACAGCGTAAAAAAACAATACGCTTTAAGCCAGCCATGTTTGCACCAACTTGTCAAAGGTAGACTTCTGCCACAGGATGGAATAGGAATCATTCAGAGTGCCACACCTGCCACGCAAAATGACGTCCCTTTGAAACGTGAGAGCACCGCATGCACGCGAGAGCGCGCTACGACGCACGCCAAATCGAGCTGGGGCTACATGGGTGTGCGGTGCCCCTTTCCAGACACTTCCATGGCTACGCGTACTGTAGCCGACACCTGAACTGTAAAAAAAACTTTCTTCGAGTGTTCTACCTGCCATACATTCTGACATTCTGTCTGGCATGCGTTTGTGTCCAAGCATGGCGCACTGCATCCGGAGCCGACTGCATCCGGAGCTTGCGATATGGAGTTCTGGTCTAAGAGGGGAAGAAGGAGAAGGAGGAACAACAAGAAGAGGAAGAAGGAAAAAAGGAGGAATTGCACCTTTGTCAAAATCTAGAGACCCCCACCTGGCAGGTGAGAGAAATCTATCCTAACTGGCCACAATGGTGGCTTTTGCGGAAGACATGTTAAAACAACATCTTTCGCGGACCTTTCGCAGTGAAAAGCGAAAGCCTGCAGTCCCATGAGAAAGATTATGTCTGGCATTTGCAATGTCTTTGCCCGCCGTCTCTTCACACACCTCATCTACCCATCAGATGAGGAGGAGGAAAGGAAGAGAAAAAAAAAAGAGAAAATGGAAGGAAGAGAGGAGAAGAAGAGGAAGAGGAAAGGAAATGGAAAGAAGAAAGTAAAAGAACATGAAGGGTAAAGGGAACGGAAATAAAAATGGACAAGTGAAGAAAAGAAAAGAAAAATGAAGGCAATAAGAGAGGAAAGAAAAAAAGAAGAAAGGAAAGGGAAAGGTAGAAAGGAAAAAATAAAGGAACAGAAGAGGGGATAGTGAAAGATTTTCACCATAAAAGTGTTGCCACAAACATGGAGACTTTGCAAGGGGCTGGTGGACTTGGCCCATTCCAGCTTTCGCGGCCATTTCGTGGATCTTTCAATTTCATGGATTCTTCGCGAGATTCGGGTCCCCAAACCTGCCAATTTTCTACCACGAAATCCTCAGTCCGGAATTTTAGACGGACCCAGCTCAGTCTGAATTTATGCCCGAGTTCAGAAATCCTGGCCGAGGAAAAAGCTAGACTGAGGTGATTTGTTCAAATCTGCAACTTTGCAGCACCAAACAACAAAAAATCGTTCAATCTCAGGGGTTTCATCCAGGAAAATACATCAACAAAGCACCCACTATCGATAGAGGCATCAAACATAAAGCCTCTGGCCATCATGGTTTTGAAGAGACAAACTGGCAGCATGGACAGCTTCCATGCCTCTTGTTCTTTAGGCCTCAAAGGACCACATTTTATACACTTATTTACATTACAAATCTCACATAACCCTCACACGGGTTTACAGCCAAATCGTCGCGGAGCCTGGTTCATCCATGAAAACAACTCTCACCAGTCAGCCAGGACGAGAACGATTGCTAAGTTTTAAAAAATGTTTCGTTTTTTTTCGCCCCATTAGTGGGTTTTTTCGCCTGATTTCGGGCATTTTTCGCCCGAGTTTTTCAGATGACTAAAGATGCTTCTGGAAAATTGTTGCCCGAGTTTGTCACAAAACTGGCCCTGTCCATATCAACATAAAACGCTATATCTCGTCAGCTCGTCACAGAAAAATCTGGACAACACAGTGCGTCACTCCTATGCCTCTACTGCGCAAAGGACCAAGACATGTTTCCCCAGGTTTCTGAGTTGCTTTCCATCATAGGTTGTTCACTCAGAATTATATTTTAAGTAGTTTGGTAGATAGTAGTTCGTAGTAGTGGTTGCGCTAGACTTTAGTAGACACTCGACCCGGGGATGGTCTCGGTCAAGGTGATTTAACATGTTTCAGCTGTGTTTGAGCCAGCCTATATCCTAGAATCAGACTAAGTTCACCAGATTTGTGCCTGAATTTGTTAAAGCTGCCCGAACTTGTCCTCAGTGTGATTTTCTGCCCGAATTGCATTCAGTCTGATCTGTGCCTTCAGTCTGAAATTGTAGCCCAAGATATTTTCTAGGTATGACATATAGTAGCTTTAAATCGTCAATGAAATTCCCACACGGACAAAACGTTTTTTAAAACTTTTTTTGCTGGAGTATGCGTTGGACAGAATACCGCCCAGACAGGACCTTATGTTGCCCTCCCTCGGAGGGATTTGTATGACACCTTGCCATACGCAAGGGCGTGTTGGCCTGTTTTGATCTCCCAAGTATGTTGGGTGCATTGGTGAAGACGGGCTGAAGGTTGAAGAGGAGGATGACGATGAAGAGCCAGACGCATGAACGGAGGCTTGAGTTCTCTGGCGCAGTTGCAGGTGCGCAAGAGAATTTTGGCCTGTGGACCTGTGGACTACAAAAATTGATGTGCAGCTTCCGGGCAGTCATGCCAAAGGCAAACCATGCAAGAAGAAGGTGCAGGTGCACAACTTGCACATACACAGTTGTTTACCGTTTACATGAATCTTAAGAGCTTACCATAAATGCCCTTACGCTCCATGCTTCCGCAACACATCCTTGACAAACCCTTACGCCGTACGCCATCTTGCACCAGCCAATATCTTTCTTGCACCAAATGTTCTTATGAAGGGCTCAACCGCACATGAAAAAAACAGGGGTTGTTGAAAAGAGGCCCCCAAGAATGCCTTGACCATGAGTTCAGAGCTCTTGGCGTCGTCATTGCGGACTGTGAGCATGTGCAATCCGCTGGTTGCGAATGCCTTCCATGGGCGCGAGTCGACACATGCACACTGAAGAATGCACAAGACGTTGCATGATCAAGCGATGACAAAGGTCAATGTGCATCAATGTGCCTTTGCAAGGGCTTCAACCTGCTCTTCGTCACATCGAAAGGTTTTCAGCGTCAAGCTTTTCAAGTTCTTGTAGAGTGGCAAAGCATCAGCCAACGCCAGCACTTGATCGGCCGGAAGGCCTTCCAACTCCAGGTGCTCACACACCGTCACCTTTTCGAAGAAGATCTTTTCTTGCAAACGGATGACGCTTTCCGCATCGGATCTGTGAGTAAAGACCGCCTTTTCCATTTCGGATCGAAACTTTGCAGGGGTCATCGGGATCCTGCCATGCAGGTGACTGCCATCACCGGAGTGGTCATCGACTCCATCGATTCTTTGGTGCTGGAGATTCACCGTCCTCAGTAGCTGTAATGTCACAGGACTCATTATGTTGTAAGCATGTGTAAGCAGCGTGCCTTCAAAACGTTTCAAAACATATCAAGATACAACTCATGTACATTCTGAGAGCCAGACCTGAGTGAACTCCATTCCACCTCTGCCATGCACCATCCGCGAGACGTGTACGCGTTCCGGTTTGGAAACAAATCCTTCAAGGGTTTGGCTACGACATGCTTGTCGTCCTTGTCATAAACAGGGACAAGTTCCGTCTCGTTGGCCATCATGCGATTCCAGACATCCTCTGGTGTGAGACTTTCGATACGCAGGGTCAGCGTGTGCTCGTGAGCATACATCACATGCATATTTTGCATGGCTGCTCCGAAGCTGCTTTCTTGTTTTGGACAGAGCCGCTCAAATTGGAACAACGATGCATAATCGTAAAACACCCAAACATCAGCCTTGAAGGCAGCTTCGTACAAGACAACACGCTGCACAATCTGCTCAAGCTGATACCTACAAGGATCTGGATGCTCGCGAGTCTCCCAAGCATGGGAGATCGAGCAGATGATCGCATCCCTATTCCCTTCAGCCCAGGTCTGTACTTCCTGGTGGCTCACCAAGGCTGTTTCAGCCTCGGAGTCAGGCAGAACAAAGGTCTGAGACTCGAGTTCTTGGCGACGTGGTAATGGGCGTCCGGAACGGACCAGCTCAGTGAGGTACCTGAGGCAATGCATTTGATGTTGGGCAAGTCAGATGCAAAGGAAGTCCCGAACCCTCAGCAAGAACTACGTAACCGACGTAACCGTAACAACCGTAACAACAGTAGGACTTGCAGTGACTTGCACCTGGCACGAACCAAACGTACGTCTGCATCGTGGAGGAATTGCGCGAACGCCTTCGCGTCCTTCAAGTCGTATTGAGCCTTGGTCAACGTTGGTGCCAATTTTTCCTGGGAAATGTGGCTCCACAAGACAATCCTCGACCAAGAGAAAAGACGAACACGAACCCGTTCACGGAGGTTTAATGGCGAGGATAGGATCTTAGGTTGACATGCATGGTGGGCACCAGGCCTCTGCCTCGGCTATCCGAACAATGGCCTTAGGCGCCAGCAACTCAAGCTGGTTTACACCAATCCAACGGATCCCTGGATTTATAAAGAAACGGTTTCAAAGTGGAGCAGAAATGGGGAGCTTTAGCATCGAAAAAGCAAAGAAAAGCCTGCAAGGCGCCAGGGTGACCCAGGGTGCCCTTGGATCAAATGGGAGGGGCCAGAGTGGCTCGATGACTGAAGGGATCCTCATCGCCACTGAGCTCGCGGGCTTCGCGCACCCTGGAGGCGACGTCCCGCCTAAGCACCGGCTGCATAGATCAACGATCCCTTTCCCCCCTCTGCAAACCAAATGCCGAGATGGGACAATGTTGCAGGAATATTATATTGACTTATATTTTATAATTTATAAGTCAGAACATGTCACACACCATGCCAGGAAGGTACATTGCTTTGCTCAATCAATCTCGGATGTTGAAAGATCGGGAAAAAAGTATTCGGTCAGAAGCACAACTCTCAGCCCGCCTGGCTGTCTCAGTTCCAACCTGTTGGGACGGCGAGAAGGTTCCGTTCTTCCGTTCTTTTTTGTCCATTTTCATCTGCAAAGATGAGCCGAACACCATTAGTACTTTGATGTTCGAGATCAGGATCTGGAAGGCAACAAATTGCCTACTTGACGAGCGGGTCTACATGTCATTCAGACATGCAACAGGTTGTCAAGTGATTTCAAGCGTATGGTCTATCACCACATCACACCAATGGCCGCGCCTGAGAGCCGCCAAGCTTCAAGAAGTACTTGGATAGCTTCGCGATGTCGAGGTGACCATCACCTCATAGGCTATAGATGGCTATGGTGGCTATAGTGGAATGGACCTCATGTTTTTTTTACCCATGACAAGTTCAATGACAAGACCTGTGGGGCGCTGAACCGTGGAAGAGGATTGGCTTGCAACCGGGCCGCTGTTCCTCGGCATCTTCCGAAGACTTGCCTCACCGTGCCGTAGGGACAATCATCAGAGAAAACAACATCGATGGATTAGTTTCAGGGAAAGCATTGTTCTGATTCTGCTCTCGTTACAAATATGTATATATATATATACCTATCTATCTATCTATCTATCTCTATCTATCTATCTCTATCTATCTACCGATCGATCGATCGATCGGGCTGTCTGTCTGTCTGTCTGTCTGCCTGTCTGTCTGTCTGTGTGTCTATCTATCTATCTATCTATCTATCTATCTATCTATTTATTATCATATGTATGTGATGCTAATATTTATATACATATATCAATTTTTTTAAAAAAAATCGGCTTCGGTGGTATCCCCAACAGCCGCAACGTTTTATTTTTACAAATCTTTCTGAAGCGTGCTGCGAAGCCAAGCACTGGAAACACCTCAGCTGGGTTTCCGTGAAATAAATGGCCGCAAATCCTGTTGAACCTGACGTGGCTCTGCACCAAAGCCTCCCGGAACCTTCTCCAGAACCTTCTCCGGAACCTTGTTGAACCTGACATGGCTCTGCACCAAAGCCTCACGTTGAACCGGAGCTGGCTCTGCTTCTCCGGGAACCTTCTTCGGAACCCTGTTGAACTTGACCTGGCTCTGCACCAAAGCCTCCCACACCTTCTCCGGAACCTTCTCCGGAACCCTGTTGAACCTGACTTGACTCTGCACCAAAGCCTCCCACACCTTCTCCGGAACCTTCTCCGGAACCCTGTTGAACTTGGCCTGGCTCTGCACCAAAGCCTCCCAGACCTTGTCCGGAACCTTCGGAACTCTCCGGAACCTCGTTGAACCTGACCCGGCCCCTGCACCAGCGCACACCGGAGCTATTCTGGGCTGAAGACCCCATTAGCTTACGCTGTTGGGGAAAAAAGTTACAGTACTGATTGACAAATTTTGATAGACTTTGGCGGGCTTTGGAGGTGCTGCAGCTTCCTGGCAGCCTCCAATCACTACAACCGACAGCATCCATCCCCAGTTCCACGCAGCTCCTACCTGGACTTCATCCGGGCTCAGCTCACTTCCTGGACGCGGCAAAAGTTCGAGCGACACTGAGGCATCCTTCCTTCACAGCGTGTCACTCCACACTTCATCAGCTCTGTGTTGATCTCTCTTAAAATGTGAACTCCTCTCTGACCTCCTACCGGTCGTAATTTTTTAAATCATTCCGACCACATCTGATCCTGCCTCTCATCACTTCTTGTAGTTCCTCCTTGGACAAGGCACCTTTGCCGTCCTTATCAAACTGCTTCAGATAGTCTAGCAATTCCTGCGCACACACGCTGGCCAAACAGAGAAACGGAGTCTCCGAAATCATTTGTTGCGCAGAACGAGATGAGAAAGAGAGTAAAATCCCAACATGACAGCAAGCTTGATTGCAAGCTTGATTGCAAGCTTGATTGCAAGTTTGATTGGCGCGCCCCTGATGATGAATTATCACTTGGCCTGAACTTTTGGAATCGGCTTTCCCAATTCTTCCTGCACCATGCTGCAGCTTGCAGAAAGAGTCACAGCCTTGTACTGTAAGGCCTCTCATCTCACATGCGGAGATCGAAACTCGTGCGACAAGAAATGGCAGAACTTCAGTTTGCTCAATGCTGTGATATGCCTTTTTTCTTCTGTTGATCAGGAAAAAAGTTTCTTTTCAACCATCCACAACGGCAAAATGAACTTCACGGAGAAAAAAAACACCGGCGGTCCTCCATGAGATTGTGAAACACATTTTGGTCGATGTACTCCGGATGCCCCAGATCCGTCAAACGCTTCTCCACCTGATTTCGGTTGCAGGAAGATACACCTACCATACACCTTCAACAGAAGCAGGAACAAACATTAACACAACAGGGAAGTAAGCGCGGGAAAGATTTAAACGCAGCAAGAATTGCTGCCAAGGATCCTCATCTTCCGTGGGGTTCATCCCAAGAACACGCATGGCATGCCCGAGTCGAGCAGCCGGCACTCCACACGGCTTGGAGAAGTATTTGAACACAGCATCTGTGGAGGCCAAAATCTGGAAGGGATCCTGAGGTCAGAGTCAAAGGTCTTATGAGGAAAAAAGCAGGCAGCTGTTAATCCTTTATGCAACCAATTGAAGGACATGGAAGAACCGCAGAGTTGCCCAGATTAAAGCGGTAAAACACGTTCTATTATGTTCTATTCACACACATGACAAGGCCTGACAAGATTTTCCAAAGAAGTTTTGCTCCCACTGAGCCACATCCGGCTCTATTTTGTCTGTTTTCTCACCCGGAATCCAGAAATCAAGAAGGTTGACACAAACCACATTTCCAAATCCAGTCCAATTCCTGAGCCTCATGCTGGGCCGCTCACGCTCTCCTGCTGGAGTCAGAATCGTGTCGAGTACTCACATGTTGAGATGCTCTGTATGTCAAAGGCCCTCCATCGTTAACTCAACTGAACAGAACATAACCTGTTCAACATCTAATATGTTGAATTATGTCTGAGAACTCTTTTGTGGCCCTATCCGTTGAAGAGACAAACACTCTCTTCCACTTCGGGGGCACGCTGTCCTCGGCAGCTTGAGTGTCTTTGCCTCAGAAACGCAGCTGGAAAAGCGTGACATTCACTGTGAATCACCTTCCATGATCCAAATGACATCATACATGGGCTCCACTCGCGCAACTCTGAGGACAGCTGTAACCTACCACCAGATGCGCTTCAATACGACTGCATATTTCAAACATGGTGCAATAATCTGCTTGCAGCGGCGAAGGATTCGGCCAATTGTCGCATGTGTGCCATATCAAGGCTGACAAGATGTATCAGGACTGTATGACACACTTCCAAGATTGATTCAAAACTCTGAGTTCCTGGACCTCGTTGACATTTTTCAGCACCGGTTTTGTCTGCCTGACAGAAAAGCAGGGAGGGACACCCCATCTGCAACATGGCGAACGTCACCCATGAAGACCGAAAAGTGACTCGGGAGTGCCAAAGTGCACAGTTTGTGTCCGGTCAAATTTGAAGCGCAAAAAATCTTTGGAGCTTTCGGAAGACCGCCCAATCAAAACTTAGAACATTCGTTTGTTTTACAGATCAAACAGCCCGAAAACCACAACAAGTTAGCGCTTGTTTCTTGAGCCAATGCAACACGGTAGAATGAGTGATACATTAGTATATACAGTGAAACTACCCAAAAACACCCCCCGCCGCCCCGCAGTTTCACGGAGAGCGGAGAGATGTAGTCCTCCAGAAGTGACCTGAGAGAGGACAACATGGAAAAACATCACTGTCAATTACATCTACCGTAGTGTTGCGGATGCTCATAGCTCACGGATGCATGAGGCAAAAGGTCGAATGCAAAAGGGTTTTTACGATCCCAAGCATTGTATGTGTCGGACATAGCAAAAGTGTCATCGGCCTGGCTTCCGCCAAGGCATAGGAGCATTACCACTCCTTTATTGCCCTGGAAACTTAGAAGCTACTGTTTCAGGCTAATGTACACGGCTATATACACGCAATCTACTGCATTGGATCGGATGCTGGTGTCAATCTCATTGAATCAATTGGGAAAAGTTTTCAAGTTAATCAAGTTGGAATTTAATGTTTTGAAGATGTGTGCAATTCGATTGAACTGAATGACCACGGGTCAGCTTTCATCCAATCGGCCAAACCTTCCGGCAGGCATAAAATCATGGCACATGAGGTGAAACACCTACCAAGATTCATACTCTACCGATCCATCGTTGAAGGTGCGCTTGAAGTGCGGCTGGCCGTTGATCTCGCAGTACTCTTCGGCAATCACAACTGGCATTCGTGGCACCTGTCGTGGTTGATCCGGAGCTGGAGATGATCCAGAAGCTGCCTGAGCGGAATCGCCAGCAGTGGGGGCTGGATCAGGCACAGGCGTCGCTGTTGAAGGTGGGTGCACCGGCTCTGGGGGCGCTGCTGAGGAACTTGAAGCGGTGGATCTTCCCCAGGGATCAGCTGTCCATCCCGTGCCAGAGTAGCCCTGTCTCCAATTCCAACTCTGCCATTGGGCCTGCCCTCCCGAGCGGCTTGAATAAGATCCATATGAATCCCATTGTTGCCGTCGGCTCCATCCACTGCGACACTCAAAGGATTTGTGGCCATACTGACCGCACTTCCAGCATTCAATGGCCTGCTGAAAGATTGGACGTTGCTGTTGACCAAAACCTTTGCCTTTGCCCTTGGCCGGCCTCTGGATTGGGTCAAAATGACGCCGGTATCCTTCTCGCCCTTCGCCAGTACCCGTCTTTGAGGATCTTGCCAATGGGAACTCGGCCACATCTGATGCCGTGGCTTCATCCACAAGGGAATGTTCCTCGCC